TTGCTGATTAAAGCTGATCTGCATTTTAGATGAAATGGAGAATTTATTCAAGCATTTCAATTCTTAAAATATGCCTTAGATGAGGTTACAGTGCTGATTCATTTTAGCAAGATTGTATTTTCATCATGGATACAGTTGCCAGTGATAGTTAGAGCACTTGATCACATATGTCACTGGTACACTGATCGGTTCCAGGATACTACTGTTATAACAAATCAAAACTTGCGTGTAGTCGTAGTATCTACCAAATGCCACTCCTGTCGCTTCAGTGGAGGAAAGTTCACTATTTATCTAGCCCATAAATCATTGAAATGGCTCACGAACTTCAAGAAACAAAAAAGTATGCTTGTACATCATATTAACAACAATGCATGAACACAGCACTGTCTGGAGCAGCAGCAAGGCGGTGCAAGTAGATTGTCTCCCCCAAACAATTAAATATCTAGATCCTGCATATCGTGCAGGTGTAGAGGCTGTTGTAGCAGCTGATCATACATGCAGAAGGTTTGAAAGGAGAAATTTAAAGACCCATTTCTAGCTTTGGTGTAACTGTCATGCATCGAAGTGAAACACGAGTTTTTGAGATTGGTGAGTGTAGTCCAGATGCACGAAACTTTAAAACTTACACGAATAGTTAAGTGTTCAAGTTTCTGTATTGTATTAATGTTATGAACCATACAAATGTGACTTCTGTTTTGCAGATGTTAGTCAGTCTCAGAATGTTTCTCATACAATAACTAATGTGAAAATTATTTTATATGGTTAATAGACCACTGCAGTCTAACACTGTTACATTTGCTGAACAGTGAATAATGAGATTTCGGGTGGCTGGAGAAATTCACCCACGAGAATCAAAGGATAAACCTCAAAAGCCAGAGTTATGTTGATTATTGTGAGTGGCAAATGAAAATATGTATTTAACCTTATTGTCCTCAGTTTGATGGTTTGGCAGAATGGGTTATACAAATTGTCAAGTAATTGTTTTTCAACTACGTTAGTCCTAATTGAACTGACTGAGAATAACCCATCTATACTTTGTGATAGTGTACTGAACAAAGGTCGTCAAATTTGCTAAGTTTTGGGCATGAAGTAGAACTACCAGTGACTGTAATATATAGTCCACCTCCTAATTCTGATGTACTACAGTATCCACAGGAATATGTGGAATAGTTAAGGTATGCAGTAGTTCGTCTTTTGTTCTTGTGAATATGCGTTTGTGTTATATCATTTTACAGTTTACAAAAAATAACTTATATCTCATTGTATGAGTTAGAACAGTTAAGTAGTTGTATCATTAAATAACACACGTTTTATTATTATGTTAAAGTTGGGTGTTAGTTTTTTATTGTTTTTTTCTACATTAAAAAGTATTTTCACGTTTATCGTCTTCATGTATTTATTATTTGTATGTACATACGTTAAATGAAAATGTATTATGGTATTTATTTGTTAAACAGTGTGTTTATAAAGTAATTACTATAAATAGTATATTTTCGATTATGTATTTGCTTTGATGCATTATGAACTTATATGTGTAATGGTATTTGTGTTGTGCAGACTTAAGGTTATGATTTATATTTTCTGATTTCGTTACCTGAATTTAAAATCAGTAGTAATCGGGATGGCCTAAGATAAAAGGGGGGAGATGTGTCATATATAAATAAAACAAATTCTCAAGACCTCACACATAAAATAACATAGAATATTAATGTGATTTTACTCGTACACGTTTTCAAAATTTTAGTACAGATTTATGAACAGGATGCACTTAAACCTTGAATTCTGAATCATATATTTGTAGACTGGACCCAGAACTTGTCTATGTTCACACCTAGCCTGCTTTCTGAATAATTCATTAAGCTGATCTTATGAGTTTTCTGACAACTTCGAAATAAAGAGTTCAGAATCGGAGTTTACTTAATGTGATTGATGTGGTGTTTGGGGAAGTTCTAGTGGTATATAGAATTTTAATATAATTCTAAACAAAATAATTTTCGCTCAAATTTTGCATTGCCTTTGTCTTTTGAAGTTTCCTTAAGCCTTGTTAGCGTACCCTGAATAAAGAGAAGTGTTTGTTTTTTGCCTTTGTCGTATAATTTGATACTTGTTTTGTACATTAAAAACATTTTGCCTCGTTGCGAAACTTGTGTCCAGTCTTACATTTTTGATCGAGTCTGACGTACTTCACGCACTGTATACAAATTTTGTGGAATTAGTAGCTTAACAGTTGGGTCCAATTTATCTAATGATTCCATATTACTAGTAACGATGTTATACCCACTATGATTCATTGGTGCTTACTAATAGCGAATTCATTTTTCAAAGAAACGTTGCTTTTTCGTGCTTTTACTATTGCAGGCTGATTCAGTGGGATTTACTTTGTCCATAAATTTGTGGTCAAAGGTTAAACTTTAGTGTACCTATTTTATCCGAGCAGGTGTTGCTTTTTTATTTCTTTGTACGTGGTGTATTTATACGTAATTACTTGAATGTCAATTTTCATATAATTTGCACGCTATACCCACGACAGTTATGTTGAACTTAATATCATAATTCATAAGATTTAACACAATAATTCCTCCACAAGACAGAAAAACAGCTCAATGAAGAACATTGGAATAAAGACATTTATGGATTATAGTAGTTTTTCGTCTTGCATGGCTTTCCATTTGTTGTGACTTGGTGGTACGGACTATTATGTTCTTTATTCACATGTTGCGATAACTTATGACGACGCTTGATGATTTTACTATCAAATCTGAACATTGGTTTAAAAACCAAGATAAGAACTTGAACATCAAAGTTGGGGTTTACTCTCTCATGACTACTAATGCAGTAATCTATCCTCTTGGTCTCTTCCTAGATTACACCAAACCCATTAATTATCGCATAGATAGGGTCTAAAGGAACAGAAGATAATGAGCCAATACTCTTGTACGGCTCGACTAAAACTTGTGAACGTCCTTTAACCTGTTAATTGTTTGATTACTAAGTTTCAATACAGCATAATGTTGACAAAAATTTGCCACGATTTTAAACAATCACTAATATTCCTATGTGATCGAGTTTTTAGAACAAATTCATTATTAATGTACAGCATATAAAGTATTTCAATATTGGCATGATCAAGTGAGAAACTGACAGAAGTTGTAGCATTTCATATAGCTTCTAAAAGGTGAGTGGAGAAGAGGAAAACATTATTTAGATCCGATAATTGACTAACAGCATTACCGCCATTTTATTAAAGCTCCGCAAGCAATTGGTTAAAGTGCATTATAATTGAAAAACCTCCGCAATTATTCGACCATCTAATGCAAGTTATTCTTGGAGGTCCTGAAGTGCTGGACCATTACTTGGGAAAGCCTGTTTCTAAAATTGTTTTAGTTTTTTACTGTAACGACACAAGGCACGAGACCTCGTATAGCCTGGCTGTCCAATCATTTCGTTGATGCCTTGTAACATTAAGTGGTCCTGCGAGTTTTAGTTAATGAAAGGGTTGATATGAAGTGTTTATTTATCATTTTGTTTACTTTTACTGGGCTGTTATGTGTCTGTATGAGTGATTAATGGCAAAGTTTGTGTCTTTGAATTTGTGCGTATATTAATTTATGATTGTCCATTTAATGGAAGTATTCAGGTTATTCGAACATAAAAGTATACCGATTCGATAAATGTTGGGGAATTTGAGTTGCTGATTATTAAAGCCAAATATTTTTTTTTCTGACCACTTGAAGAGAAACGCTTCTAGTAGCTCAGATTATTCGTTATTATGAAATTAGACATCATTACTTAAAAGAATTAACCAACTAGTGAACGTAGCTTTATACCACATAGACGTACTTTGAGTGCTTACACAACTTCATCTAGCTTACCAGTACAACGTTCTAAGCAGTTCGGTTGTCATGGTGCTAATAGTTTTATACTTTACCGATAGAGGAAGAAAGCAGTGGATTCCATTAAAAATTGAACTTACTGTTTATTATACCGTTTACATTCCTCATGTTGATCTTAACTAACTTAAAATATCACTGCGGATAAGATTATTTTTGTTAACTTCCGTATGTGTAATTCTCCTGTTCATCTTAAGAAATCAAGCTAAGAAACTTGTTTGTTACTACCAACCCGACCATCAACAGTGCAGTCGATGTTTGGATAATTTTTTCATTAAAAAGAGTAATAAAAAAAGATTTCACGAACGGAAAGTTCTTGATTCTGGATGTGTACTTTACATCTGACACTGAACTTCAAATGGATTGAGTCTGTAAAACGATTTGTCGTTTGTCAGACATTAGAATGGTAAAATAATGACTAGATCTAATTATCTCCAGTCAGATTGTACGTTCAGAAGTCTACACACACACAAATGTACTGATAGATAGTGTCCTTTGACATATAAAGATAAAGCAAACTGTTTTTGACATTTTTCTTTTACACTTCAGCAAAACTATACATGGTAATACATTGGAGATGAACATTTTCTATGCCTATAACTTTCGTTGTTGTTGTTTTTTTCTTTTTCATCGTCAGTGCCATTTTTGAGATAGATATAAACCCAAGAACTTTCATCGTGGAACATATGAGTTTATGTGAAATTACACTTTTGTCACTCTGAAACAATAAAAAAATAATTGATTGAATTCTTTTTAATCTGTTTCTTGACAAGATTGAACATTTTATCATGGTTGAGTGGTTGACAAAACTGAAGAGTTTGTAATGTTTTATCAGTACTGAGTGTTTGACAAGATTGGTTGGTTGGTAATGGTTTATAAGTACTGAATGATCGACAAGATTGGGCGATTTTTATTGGCTTATCAGTTCTGAGTGATTGACAAGATTGGGCGGTTTGTAATGGTTTATCAGTACCGACTGTTTGTCAATATTATGCTGTTTTTAATGTTGTATTAGTGCTGACAGTTTGACAAAATTGAGTGGTTTGTAATGGTTTATCAGTATTTAGTGGTTGACAAGATTGGATGGTTTGTTGGTACTACAGTAAACAGGTTTTAATCTTTTTCAGATTATGCTGTATGTGCAAGTTCGCAGAGGCCCTTGGAATCCTGGTATTTGATACACTTGGTGTTAAGGTCCTGAAAATTCTATCGAGACTGTGTTTAAAGTGTTTGAGGAGACCGTGTCCTTAGGTTAGCGTGTTGGGCTGTGGAATGAATATTCCGTGTTTCGAGGCGCGATAACGCTGTGCACTTTTAGCTGTGGACGCATTATAAAAGTGACAGTTAGTAAATTTTTTGGATTCAAAGTCATTGTGGCAACAAGCGGTACTAACTGGGTGTTTTTCCTATAGTCATTGTACCGGATGTGGCCAAGTGCTTAACATACTGGACTGTGAATCCTAAAGTCCGTGGTTCACGACTCGTTGCCGCAAAAATGCACTTCATACTTTGGTCAGTGGGTGTGTGATAAAAATAATGGTCATATCATAGTATTATATTAGAATAGCCCAAGAGTTGACGGTGGGTGCTGTTGACTAGCTGCCTTCCTTCTACTGTATCGATGTTTACGATTAGCGCAGATAGCCTTTATATAGGTTTGCGCGAATTTCCGAAACAAACCAAACCTCTAATCAGTAGCTTAATATTAGGGACAACTGTATCTAAATCTTGGGGACCTCTGACCTAGCCCACGTGCACATGAGATATCGTTCAGTTTGAAATTTTAATTGTCATTATATATTTTAGCGCAAAATATAAATATGAAGTACGGTATTGTTGAAAACAATGTTCGTACTCTGACTTATGCCATGTTAGTTAAAACAAGATATCAAAGGAAAGTATATCAAAATGGTAGGTAAAAGTGTTTAATCATGATGTGTTTGTTTTGAATTGTCGTGCAAAGCTACACGAGGGCTATCTGCGCTAGCCGTCCCTAATTTAGCAGTGTAAGACTAGAGGGAAGGCAGCTAGTCATCACCACCCACCGCCAACTCATGGGCTACTCTTTTACCAACGAATAGTGGGATTGACCGTCACATTATAACGCTCCCACGGCTGAACGGGCGAGCATGTTTAGCGGAACGGGGATT